TACAAACAATAAATAAAAGACTGACAGAGGGAGACAGAGGGAAGGACAGGCAGAACCACAGAAATCCCCCATCTGATGAATCCCTCCCAAATTCTCTGAAACAGCTTGTGCTGGGCTCCACCAAGGCCAGGTGCCAGTGGATGAACCCAGGTCTCCCACATGGCTGGCCAGGACACAACTGCTCTTGCCATCACCTGCAGCACCCCACAGTGTGCATGATCAGGAAGCTGGAAAAGGAACACAGCATGGATTGGAATTCAGGCAATCCAGTATGGGATGTGAGTATCACAGGATGTATCTGACCTGCTGCACCAAATCCCCACTCTACAGCTTTACATTTTTCAACTAAAGTGGGGACAGACATGGTGGCACAGTGGGTTCCTGTGCCACCTGCCACACTGGAATCCCAGATGAGCATGGGTTCCAGTTCTGGCTGCTCCACTTCCCATCCAGCTCCTTACTGATGTGCCTGGAGAGGCAGCATAAGATGATAGCCCAGTCACATGGCCCCCTGCAGCCCACATCAGAAACCAGGATGGCATTCTGGGCTCCAAGCTTCAACCTGGCACAGCCCCAGCACTTGGGGCAATTTGGAGAGTGATCCAGCAGATGAAAGGTCTCCTTCTGCCTCAGTCTCTCCCTTTCTATCACTCCACCTTCCACTAAATAACCTTTAAACACCACAAAGAAAAGGCAGAGAGAGAGAGAGAGAGAGAGACATAGAAGACTCCTATCAGCCATTTCCCTCTCAACATTTCAGCAACCACTAGTTCTGGGCCATGCTGAAATCTGGCCCTGGAAATTCATCCAGGTCTCCCGGGACTATAGCAGGGTCCCTAGTGCGTGAACCATCACCTGCTCTCTGCCACAGTGTGCACTGTCAAGAAACTGGACTTGGGAACCAAACGTTCACTGGAATCTGAGCTCTATGTGAGATAAGGACATCCCAAGAAATACCATACCCATTGTAACTAGTGTGCATTCACAGCTTTAGGTTTTTTAAAAAATTATTTGAAAGGCAGAGTTCCCAAATGCCCATAACACACCGCTGTATCTATCATGTTAAAGTTTAACTTCAAATCATATACTAATTAATAAATCAAAAAAGCAGAAAGTGTGGCAGTGTTGTGTCCCAGAAAGTTAATCCATAGTTTCCAACTCCATCAATACATATCAGATCCAGGTTTCGATTTCCAGCTGCTCCTGTTCTGATCCAGTTCCCTGCTAATGTGCCCGGGAAGGCACTGGAAGACTGCTCAAGTCAACGAGCCCCTCATACCAACATGGGACGCCCGGATGGAGTCCTGGTATCCTGGCTTCCAACTGGCCCTGACACAGAGTTAGAGACCATTTGGATTGTGAACTAGCAGATGGAAGATTCTCTCTCATTCATATTCTCCACCCCCCCACCCCAATCTGTGGGTGACTCTGCCTCTCAAATATATGAAATATCTTTAAAAACAGTCCACATAAGGCAGAGAGGCACAGAAGGACAGGCTGACCAATGGAAACCTCCCAGCTCCTGATTCCCTCGCAAACTTTCTGAAATAGCTAGCGCAGGCCCAGGCCAAAGTCAGGCACCAGAAGCTTAAACCAGGTCTGCCACGTGGCTGCCTGGGAACGACTGCTCTTGCCATCACCTGAAGCAGGAGATGGAAAGGCAACAGAGCATGGACTGGAACCAATGCACTCCTGTATGGGATGTGGGCATCACAGGAAATACCTGACCTGCTACACCAAATGGTGTTCCTACAGCTTTTCATTTTGAAAGCATAATTTGAGGGCAGGCCTTGTGGAACAGCGGGATAAGGTGCCTCCAGTCATGCTGGCATCCCATATGAGCAATGGTTTGAGGAGTGGCTGTTCTACTTCCCACCAGCCCCCAGCTAATGTTACCTGGAAGGCAGCACAAGATGGCCCAAGCACTTCTAATGCCTTCCACCCACAGCACAGACCAGGATGGGATTCTGGGATTCTGGCCTCCTGGCTCTGGCCTGGCCCAGCCCAAGCTTTTGTGGCTATGTGAAGACCCATTCCGCAGCTGAAGATCTTTACTCTCAGTCTCTCCCTTTCTCTCTATCACTAGGTCTTTCAACTAAACAAATCTTTAAAATTATAAACAAAAGCAGAGAGACAGAGGAAGACAGACACACAGAAATCTCTCATCTGCTCTTTCCCTCCACAGTTTTCACAGATCGCTGTTGTTGAACCAGCCTCAAGCCAGGCCCCTAGAGCTTAAACCAGATCTCGCAGGTCAGTGTTAGGGTTCTATGTTCTTGAACCATCACTTGCTGCTTCACATGGTGTTTATTGGCAGGAAGCTGGATTTGGGAACTGAGCCTGGACTGGGACCCAGCCCTATAATGTGGTATGTGGGCATTCCAAGAAATATCCTACTTACTTCAACAAACACCCATACCATAGCATTCCCTTTCACAAACAAAATTATATTTATCTTAACATTGACAGAGAGAGTAAATGGTGGGCGGGGGGGGGGGGTGGTTAGACACTGAGGGAAAGACCTCCCATCAGCTAGTTCATCTCCCAATGTCTGCAATACTCGGTGCTATTCCTATCATGATACAGCTTCGTTTTCTTTATTTTTATTTATTTGAGAGGTAGAGTTACAGAGAGTGAGAGGGAGAGACAGAGAGAGAGATCTTCCTTCTGCTGGTTCACTCCCCAAATGGCCGCAATGGCCAGAGCTACACTGATCCGAAGCCAGGAGCCAGAAGCCTCTTCCTGGTCTCCCACATGCATGCAGGGGCCCATGGCCTTAGGCCATCCTCTACTGCGTTCGCAGGCCACAGCAGAGAGATGGACTGGAAGAAAAGCAGCTGCGACTAGAACTGGCACCCATATGGGATGCTGGTGCCGCAGGTGGAAGATTAACCTACTGTGCCACGGCGCCAACCTCCTACGCTTAAGTTTAAAACACATGAACTTATATGGCCCAGTCTTTGAGGCCATTTTGTGAGTGAACCAGTAAATGGAACATCTCTCCCTTTGTCTCTTTTTCTGTACTTCTGCTTTCAAATATAGTAAATGTTAATGATTCTCCTATTTATTTGAAAGGCAGAGACAAACACATACAGAAAAGTATCTGCCATGTTCTGGTTCACTTCTCATTTGCCGCCAGTGTAAACCCTGGGCAAGCCCAAAGCGAGGTCCTCTGAATTCATTACAGGTCTCCCACATGTGTGGATGGGACACAGTTCCTAGATCTATCACCTGTTTCCTCCCAGGGTGCCCATTAGCAGGGAGGCAAAATCAGCAGAGGAGCTGGGACCTGAAATCAGGTACTCTGATACAGGATGCACTTGTGCCAAGTGGCATCCGAAATGCCGGAACAAACTCTTGTCCCTGGTGCAATTGAACTGTTTAAATGTTCATAGTATCCAAAGCAATTTGCAGATTCAGTACAATTACCATCAATATACCTAGCACAGGGCCAGCACTGTAACACAGCAGGTAAACCCACTGCCTGCAATGCCAGAATCCCATATAGGCACCAGTTTGTACCCAGGCTGTTCCACTTCCAATCCAGTTCCCGGCTAATGGACTAGGAAAATCAGAAGATGATGACCCAAATACTTGGGCCCCTGACACCCATGTGGGAGATCTGGAAGAAGCTCCTGGCTTCATCCTGGCCCAGCCCAGGCTGTTGCAACCATCTGGGGAGTGAACCAGTGGACAGATCTCTAACTCTGATTTTCAAATAAAAAAATTTTTTTTAAAAAAATGAGGGAAAAGGACACATAGAAAAAAATAGAAGAGGCATGAGTGCCAAGACAAGAAGGCACAGCCTAATCCCTAAAATACCAAAAATCTTAATTCCTGTGAGTGTTTTATTCAGAGCTTCAATTACAGAATTTATGAGACTACTTTGAAAAATAAATCAAGCTATGTGCAGGCTTCTGGACACACACAAACACACACACACACACACACAGGGACAAAACGAAAGTTTGAAAGTATTTTTTGAAGCATGAAACAATGGTCCAACGGCACACTGTATCCTCAAGGAAGCAGGCACAGTTGTGTTGTTCTGTGAGAGACTGATTCAGGACAAAGAAAATTCATTATATATCAAGATAGACCTCCCGTGATAAAATGTTCAGCTTACATGAAAGGTGTAAAACCTCCCAAGCCTCTGAGCACCTAGGACACCTTACAACTATTGACTGTGATACTTGACAGAATCACAAAGAGGAGCTGAGAAAGTAACCACAGAAAACAGCAATGTGATCGCATCCACAAGCAAGTGCAATAAAAGGACCAAAGACAGAAATAACACATTTACCAAGCCTACTTGATCAAATGGAGTTACATAGTGAACTGAAACCAAAAGTTAGAGGATTCTTTTAGGACTTGATGAATATTTATGAAGAATAAACATGTATAGGGCCATGTCCAAGGTTCAAGACACATCAAATACATACCATGTTCTCTGATTACAGTGTAACTAAATTGAAACATCAATAGTAAAAGAACCTTAAAACCATGTTTTGAAATTAACCACTACACATAATTAATGAATCGAATAGGAAATAGGAGAATGAGAAAATATTTGGAAATGAGTGAAAATCAAATTTGTGGGACATGGACAAGTGCTACTCAGGGATATTAAGGCCTGTTGTTCTAACAAATAGAAGGAAGACTGGACCAAGCATTCTATGGAAGGAGAATCATCCATGTAAGAAATAAACACACAAACAGGGAGAGATGCAGCACTTACCTTGTGGCAGAGAAATGCCTGCCACACCACAATGAAATACTGCCATTCCATCAGAGCTGCAAAATTAAAAACTGAACCCAATCTTGGTGGGCAGATACAGCAATGTGGACCCCTCTACACAGCAGGAAGGGGGTAGCCAGTGGTCTAACCACTTAGGAAAGCATCAGAAAACACTGATAACACAGAAGAGGCACACTGATGGCTATAAAAACCCAGTCCTACTTACACAACCTAGACCTATGTGCATGAGCAGACATAAAAACGTTGTTTGCAGCACTTTATTTTTAGGGCAAAATTGTAGAAACCATGCAAATGGGTGTCCACAGCAAAACGGATGGGTAGATTGGGGTATGGAATTAACACAGTTGAATGCATGCAGCAAGCAAGAGAATCAGAGCAAGGTCATTGCAGATATACACATTTATGATAGAGAACAGCTTGTTACAGAACATTACATCATGGCATAAATTTATATAAAACAGAAAAATTCAAAACTCTGCTAGCAGTATCTGTTTTTCACCAGTTCTCATCTCTGTAGTAGAAGTTTACAGAAATTCATGGCATTGAGAAGATTAATGGAATGCAGGAGTTACATTGGGATGAAAGGGGAACTGAGAGAGGGCAGGGCTACCTGGGGGCACAAGTGATTCTGAATAACTTCATTCCATGCACTGGTTTTGGACATGTGGCTGTGGGGTTGATTATATGTCTCTCTTCCATGTTTTATCAGGTTAAATGGTGCATGAAGTCTTTCTAAACCCAGAACGTTCCTGTCAATGCCCCTGCCCCTCCATCCCACACACTTTCCCTCCCACGTTTACCTCCCTAGTGCTCATGAGTCTCCTCCCTCCAGCCCAGGCCTACTGCCACAGTCAGGGCCTTCTTCATCCTTCCGCGGACTAGGCAGTGCCCTCCTGCCTCCCACTCTGTAAAGCTGCTGGGCAATGTGACTGAAATGCGAATCTGACAGCAGCACCATGACTCACTTCCCTGCCTAAACCTCTTCAATGACTCCTGGGTGTCTGGTAAACAAGCACGAGTTCCTTAATGTGGCACACCAAGCCCTTTGCACCCTGGCCCCTGCTCGCCTCCCCGATGTCCTCTGTCCCTTCTTCCTGCCTTGAAGTTTAAGCTCCAAGGACACGGACTCCTTACAGTCCCCCACAGGATGAACAACTCCTCCAAGTTGGTTGGCCCAGGACTTTTCTGGTCCTAACAGGGACAGTCCTGCATCCACGAATGCTTCCGCCCAGGAAAGCCTGGACTGTGCTGGAATTAAAGTCCCAGCTCTGCATTTACGAATGCCGGCATCCCATTCTGGACTGAGTTTGAATTCCAGCCGCGGTGGTTCAGGTCCAGCTCCCTGCTTATGCACCTGGGAAGACAGCAGCAGATGACCCAAGTACCGGGACCTTTGCCACCCACACATGGCAGCTCCTGGCTTCCAACTGGCCCAGCCCTCACTGTCACAGAAATAACTGAGTAGACTAATGCAGGCTGGCTGTGTTTACACCCTAACAGGTTGCTTTCTCAGACTGGGGGAGGGGGCAGTCACTGTAGGCTAGGGAGTTCCAGTCATTTGAATACAGGACCTAGGCTTCAAGCACAGACTGGAACGGGGGAGAGCATTTGGTTAGGGGTTGGTGGATGGAGGGAAGCAAGGTTTCCTTGGTGTGAAGAGCAGCACCTTGCCACAAAGCCCTGAGTCAGCAATCCCCAAAGGCCACTGAGACAACAAGGCACTTGCCAATTGCTCCCTAGCAACCTCCCATCACGTCTCAGAGCAGCTTTATCTCTGCCACTTTCCTAATGTGAGGCCTAGGAGGGAAAACTCATCCTCCCTTATCTCAGGGTCAGCCCTAAGCAAACATAGGGCACCCAGGTAACCAGGTGAGTCAGTCCACAGAGCAGTCTGGCAGGGATTCCCACCCCCTACTTGCCTGAGGGCATGAATCTCACAACTTAGGATAAGTAAGCACAGCCACCATCAGTCATTGCTGGATGTGCACCCAGCTCTCTGCCTCATCCCACTGAACCCTCGGGATACCTTGAGACCCTGGTTCTACAGATGGGAAACTGAGTCTCAGAGATGTCAAGGCACTTACCCAAGGCAGTGCACGCAGTAGGAGGTACAGCTGGGGGTCGAAGCCAGATCTCATCTGACTACAGAACCTGCACCCTTGGTGCCAGCATTTGTGGCATAGTAGGTTGAGCCACTGCCTGCAACACCAGCATCCCATATGGGCACAGGTTCATCTCCAGCTGCTCCACTACTGATCCAGCTCCCTGATAATCGCTGGGGGAAAGCAGGAGCAGATGACCCATGTAACTGGGACCCTGCCACCCATGTGGGAGACCTGGATGAAGCTCTAAGCTCCTGGCTTCAGCTTGGCCAATGACTGGGCATTGAGGTCATCTGCTGAGTGAATAAGTAGATGGAAACTCCTTCCCTCCCTCCCTCTTTCTCTCTTTCTCTCTCTCTAACTCTTTTGTAACTCTTTCAAAACAAATAAATAAATCTTTAAAAAAAACTGCATTCACAGAGTGCCACCAAGTGACCCTAATCTAGTTTAGGCTTTCAAGGAATCCTTAGATTTCTTCTAAATATAGTCCACATGAGATTAGTCAAAATACTTGCAGCCAAAAGGTATAGAAATACTAGACAAGAGGCCAGTATTGTGGTGTTGGCTAAGCTACTAGCTGGGATGCCAGCATTCCATATGGGTTTGGGTTCAAGTTCCAGCGGCTGCACTTCTGATCTGGCTCCCTGATAATGCAACTGGGATAGCTCCAGAAGACGGCCCAAGAACTTGAGTCCCTGCACCCACATGTGAGACCTAGAAGTTCATGGTTCCTGGCTTCAGCCTGGCCCAGCCATGTACTTGTGGCCATTTGGGGAGTAAACTAACAGAAGATTCATTCATTCAGTCAGTCATTCATTCTCTCTCTCTCTGCCTCTGTCTCTCTCTGTAACTATGACTTTCAAATACATAAATATTTTTAAGAAAAGAAATAGTAGGTAAAAATCTGCTAAAACTTTTTTAAATGCTTAGATGAGCTAAGAAAGAGCCAGAGATTAACGAACAGCTTTGCTCTCCAGTATGGTCCCATTCAACACTGCTCACATCAGCAAGACACAGATGGACACTCACTGTGTTGTGCTTCTTCGCCCTCTTCATTGAGCTGGGAAACACGATTTGTCTCAAAAAAAAGGCTCCAGAGCTTCTAAGGGAACAAATCACGAACAACAACATGACACAGAAAGCAACACACTCCCATTATCCCACAAATCTGTGCAAATTGCCAACACCCAGAGATACCGATATACCATCCGTACATCTTTTCCTTAGGAGGGTGTCCACATGTCTTAATTTCCCCTGTTGTCGCCAGCACAATTATTCCCAGGGCCGTTTTAACTGTTGAAACTGTCCACACTTATCAGAAAACAAATTATAGAACTAGGAAGGCTCATGTTAAGTTCCTTTCGCCACCCTTACACAGGTTCTGGGTGAGGATCCACAACTTCCTCGTGTGAAGGTTGGATCTAACCTGTTGGAAGGAGTAGCCAAACCATCACTGAGGAGAGAACAGCAAATCAAAAACTAGGAATGTGATTTAAGGAGATTCTGAGTACCATCCACCTTGTTCAGGGCTGAGTGGTTATGAACAGGGGCAGGAGCATTCCTGGAATGCAGAGCCTGCCCCGGTGGGAAGTGTGCAGAGCTGAGGACAATCCACATTGTGAGCACAGCTGTATGTCAAACACGATGAGCCCAGGTTGCTGGAGGTACAAAGACAGGTGGAGGAAAGCTATCTAAGGGATCACGCTCACTCCCCTGAGCCCCGGTTTGCCCTACCCTACACCCAGCTTCTTACTGCAGAGGGAGCCCACTTAAACTTCAGAGCCTGGCAGCTGCTTGGAAACTGAAGCCCTTAGGATACAGTGGGGGCTTCAGGGGCCTGTGAAGGAACACGTGCCCAAGTAAGGGTACACACATCATGAGACACTCAGGCTGTGACCCATTGCTGACTGTGCACAGTCAGGATAGCCAACATGAGGACACACGTAAAAGGATATCAACCATCCGCAAAAATCACCCAGGAGAAAATGATCATGTAACACTGGAAAATCTCTAAAGATGATTTAGATGAACACATCTAAAGACAAAATCTGCTCATCTCAAAAGGTGTTAGAACAGCATATGTGAATTTTTGACATGCATTATGTTTCCTAAAATGCCTAGAACACACACACACACACACACACACGTTACTGTGAACACAGGCTCCTGAAACAACCGCCCAATGTCATGTGTGCTAATGAGAATGAGGAAGGTGTCTAGACAGCTTTTCAACAGCACTATGATTTGAAAATCTTGACTAGCAAGCATAGAATATTTCTAAAGGCTTCATCAATCAACACATTTCTGTTGATTTGATTGCACTGCAGATGAGGACCTAATTAAAATATTTTGGCCTCATGAAATCTTTGCATGTCTAAAGATTAGTAGGACCCAAAGAACTTTTATGTGGTTTTTATCAGCCAGTATTTGCTGTAAAATTCATAAACAGAGATTTTGATGAATCTATTAAAATTCATTTTTTCAAATCACAATATAATACAGAGCATGTTAATACCCACAGCATACTGACATGAAAATTGCACTTATAAAAATGTAGACGCATGGATGACATTTACATATCTGAAAACCCTTTCAATATCTGGTCTACAGGAGGTGAAGTGGGTTTTCATGTCTACTTACCAGTGCTACCCGCTGGCATTTCCCAGGAAACAAAGCTATGCAGGGTTTCACCCTAAACTGAGATCACAAGAACGAAAAAGGTAGATGATGAACACAGCAATTCTCCTGTTAAGGAAAATATAAACAAAAAAATCACAAATGACTTTTCGAAAGGGATGAATTGCAACACGACTAGCAAAAATTCACCAATTACCTAGGAGCAAATGGAACTACAGACACATATTGGAGTTGACACTGTGTAGAAGTCAGTAAAGAACGTCATAAAAGCAGACAAGACACCTCATGCCCCAACTCTGAGGCGAGTCCACGTGGGCAGTGGTGCAGGCCTTTTCCCCTGAGAGGGTGGCTCAGGAAAGAGCCATTGGGGGAGCGGGGCAGGTGGTCCCGAGGCGGCTCAGGGGTGGGTGATGAGCTTCAGGAGGGCCTTGGTGCCCTCCATGTCCATGTGCTTGTGTAGCTGCCCGGGCAGCAGGAAGTGAACCTCGTCCTGGATCTCTCTCTGGGTGACAGTGGAGTGCATCTTAATCTAGACCAGACAGGCAGCCTTGTCAGCGATGCTCTCAAAGATGTCCTGCACGAACGAGTCCATGACGCACTTAGACAGGCTGAGGCCATGGTGAACCTGCTTCAGAAGCCGCAGATGCAAGTGGGGAGGCTGTGCTCCCAGCCAGGGCGGCAGTGGTTGCAACACCTGGGTTCTGCTCCGGGCTGGGTGGGAGCTGCTTCCTTCTGCTCCGGGCTGGGTGGGAGCTGCTTCTCTTCTGCTCCGGGCTGGGTGGGAGCAGTCTTAAGGCTCCATGATGGAAAGGCTCGTCTCAAAGCCACATGAGAGGCAAGCTCCAACATCATGGAGGCAGTGGCTGGTAGCTGGGAACCGCAGACAAGGGCAGCTGCCCACAGGCAGCACCAGTTTATGCTGACAGCATTGCCTGACGTAACAGACCAATTCCATGTTTGACTGGATGACAGCCTGGGGGAGACCGGACAGTGTCAATGTGACCGAACAGCTCTCCAGCCTGGAATCACTTCAGCCGATCACAAAGGGCGGCTGGAGACCTAGAAGATACCTGTTGCCCGAACTGGACAAACGAGGAGTTGGACTCACAGAAGTTCATCGTACCGCATCAGCTGACCCAAGTGACATCATGAGCACTTTGAACGACATTATGAAAATCCAATATGCAGAAACACTTTAAATTTTTATCCAGTTTATTATATGGGGAGAATTTCCATCCACTGGTTCATGCCCCAAATGGTTCCTTCCCCTGTGCCCACCAGGAGCCAAACTCCATCCCTGTCTCCCATGTAAGTGGCAGTGGGCCTGCTTTGGCAATCACCTACTCTCTTGACAGGTGTATTCGCAGAAGCTGGATCAGATGCAGAGAAGCTGGGACTCAAACCAGATTCTGACATGAGATGTCAACCTCTCAGGTGACAGCTTGACCCACTGTAGCACAACACCCAACCCCAAAGTTTCTCTCCCTCATAAAGAACTACTCCCTTTTGCTTAGGGCCCTTTTGTTTGCCAGGCAGAGTTAGACAGCGAGAGAAAGAGACAGAGAGAGTTATAGACTGTGAGAGAGAGAGACAGAGAAAGGTCTTCCTTCTGCTGGTTCACTCCCTTAATGGCCGCTATGGTCGGCGCTGTGCCGATCCAAAGCCAGGAGCTGGTCTCCTCCTGGTCTCCCATGTGGGTGCAGGGACCCAAGCACTTGGGCCATCCTCCACTGCCCTCCCGGGCAAGAGAGTTGGACTGGAAGAGGGGCAACTGGGAAAAGTACCCGGCGCCCCAACCAGGACTAGAACCCTGGGTGCCACAGGCAGAGGATTAGCCAAGTGAGCCACGGTGCTGGCCTAGGGCCCTTTCTAACGAGGGTACTTTCATTGATTACCTAATTAAAGATCCTATCTCCAAAATGGATTGCACGAAAAGAACTAGAATTAGGGCTTCTATGCATGTTTTTTTTTTGGGGGGGGGCAAGTCAGACACTGGGAGCTATAAATCCTAAAGTCTACTGGGATCTGCCTCTTCCATTTATGTTAAGAATTTGGTGACCAATTAAGGGAAATGAGATGATGCTCACCCACATTTTGGAGATTATCTGAATGATATTTTCTAATTTTTAATTTGTACCTTAATCTCTCAATGGTGAAAGAAGATTCTTGGCAATTTCAGTCAGAAGAAATTAAGTGTGACTTGCTTTACAGCCCATGATATGCTCAGTTTAACTAAGTGTTCATTTGCACTTCAACAACTTGGAAATGCCCTACTGATTAGGCTGTATCAGCCTGTAAGGGACAACACTCTCAGCCACTCAATGAGACAAGTGCAGGATCATCTACAAAAGTCAAAACTCCTTTACAGACCATCAGAACAGGCATAGCACTTTTCATGGAGTCAAACCCAGTGAATATTACACTTTGGCAAAGCTGCACCATCTCAAAAGAAAGAAGAGAGGTAGGGAAGGATAATGTAGAGAGAATCCCAGAGTAGCATAGGCATGAAAAGGCACAGAACATGACTAAGGAGCTGGTACAAAAGTTGCTTTTATATGATTTTTTTCAGAAAGGAGCGGGGAGGGTTAGGAGGAAGGGGAGAGTGAGGGAAATGGCAAGAGGGAGGGAGAGGGGGAGGGGAGGGGGGCAGAGGAATTGGAGGGAGATGGGGAGGGGGCAAGGAGGATGGGGAGGAGGAGGGGGAGGAGGAGCACCACAAGGAGAGACACAGAGGGCGGGAGGGGGGAGGAGGAGGTGTAAGGGGAGGTGAGGGGGAGGGTTGAGCAGAAGGGGGAGGTGGAAGAAGAGGGAGCGGGTGAGGGGGATGGCTAGGGCAAGGAGGAGGGCAAGGGGGATGGAGAGGGGGAGGATGAGGGGGAAGGCGAGCAGGAGGGGGAGGAGAGGTGAAGGGGAGAGGGAGGGGTGAAGGGGAGATGAAGAGAGAGGGGTGAAGGGGAGAGGGAGGAGTGAATGGGAGACAGAAAGGGAAGGGTGAAGGGGAGAAGGAGGGGTGAGCAGGGGGGCCGGGACAGGGGCGAGGGCGAGGAGGCTTCCATTACTAGTTGACTTCCCAAATGAGTGTAACAGCTGGGGCTGAGCAAAACTAAAGTGTCAGGAGCCAGGAAACCAATCCAAATCTGCCATGTGGGTATCCCAAGCAGCATCTTAACTGCTGTGCAAAATGCCCACCCCCAAAATCTGTTTGTTGGGTTCATTTCAGGAGACTCATGATGGCATGCAATACCTTCATTGGGATCATAAGGGATAGGACTCAGCATAAATGAGCCCCCTCATAAAATAATTGTTATTATTGTTATGCTGGGATATTAGAAATATATCATTAAAAGGCTTGAGGAAAACATTTCTGTCCTAACTAAATAAGAAATCTCTATAGTTCAAATGCAAGGAAATTCAAATGGGTAATGCCTGGCACTTTCCTTCCACAATGATAAACATGTTTGGAAGCCAAAGGATCAATGCAGAGCTATGCATACTCTCAAAGACGCTTCTCTATACAAGCTGAAAAATAGCACTTCACCGTAAGCCACTCAGCTTCTATCATGCTCATGTTTGTTTCAACAAATGCCACTGTTTATCCATGACATTCAACTATTTTCCACAAGTTAATCTTGCATCCTTTTTATATATGTCATCTTACATTACATGTCATTTTGCAAAGAATGATTTATTTGAGACATAATGAGAGAGAGAGTGAGACCGAGAGAGTGGATGAGAGAGAGAGAGAGAGAGCAAGAGAGAGAGAATGAGTATGAATATCTTCCTTCCACTGGTTCACTCTGAAAATGGCTAAAATAGTCAGGGCTGGTTCATGACCAAGCCAAAAGCCAGGAGCAACGTCCAGGTCTCTCATGTGGGTAGCAGGGCCCCAAGTACTTGGTCTATCTTTTGTTGCTTTCTCAATAGCATTGGCAGGGAACTGGATGGGAAGTGGAGCAGCCAGGACTCAAATGGCTCCTATATGGGATGTCAGCATCACAGGCAGGGGCTTAACCACAGAGGTTGTGGGATCAATTTAAATGTATCACAGGCCGGCGCCGCGGCTCACTAGGCTAATCCTCCGCCTAGCGGCGCCGGCACACCGGGTTCTAGTCCCGGTCGGGGCGCCGGATTCTGTCCCGGTTGCCCCTCTTCCAGGCCAGCTCTCTGCTGTGGCCAGGGAGTGCAGTGGAGGATGGCCCAGGTGCTTGGGCCCTGCACCCCATGGGAGACCAGGAAAAGCACCTGGCTCCTGGCTCCTGCCATCAGATCAGCGCGGTGCGCCGGTCGCATCGCGCTGGCCGCGGCGGCCATTGGAGGGTGAACCAACGGCCAAGGAAGACCTTTCTCTCTGTCTCTCTCTCTCTCACTGTCCACTCTGCCTGTCAAAAATAAATAAATAAATAAATAAATAAATGTATCACAAACCACTCACAAAGCAGAAATAAATATGTCAAAATTTCCAGAAACACTAGTTATCCAAGCTCCCTTGAAACTGAAGTTACATTCCAATGTGTTTGGATCTATCAGATGGCATTTGGCAGGCTGCATGGTTTTGGTTTTGAAAACCCGAACCTTCCTGACTGGCACCTGTGCATCACTGGGAGGGTGGCAGCATCCAATCAGAGATGCTCCAGTCCTACCTCCACTGTCTCAGCTAATGATGCACCTGCAGCCATTGACCCACAGCCATGAGCACAACGCCTTTTTCAAAGAGCCTGGGGTGGACACAAAGAGAGAGATGCCTCACCATGGAACTTTCAGAATTTACAAGACCATAAAGGAAGAGGATGATGAAGAATACAGGAGAATGTAGGGCAGACACTTGGGGCAATCACAGATTGGCAGCAGATTCCAGTCCAGCTCCAACCACAAAGTCCTCACACTGCAGTCTCTTTCTCTGGTTGTCAGGACCCCACAAGTGGGAAAGCATGTCTATAATGGTTACAAACTTGATGTCATTTCAGGGCAATGACTCTGACACAGAAAACAGAGATTCCCCTAATAGGACACGCCATCCTGCTGGGATAGCTCAAGGATAAAACCTGTCAGAGTCCACTAATGAGGCCTAGCAAACTGAGCACTTGCTCACATGAGCATGCAGTGTGTGG